CAAGGCACAAACAAGATTAATTTTTTCCTAATGAATTGATGTGGATGGTCTGCTGCTGCAGGCTTCATCTTCAATATCATCTCTTCCCTTAATAAAAATGGTTATTCACTTGTAAATGCTAATTTCTTTGGGAAATTGTCCCCATAAACTTTTCTTTTAAGCGTCAGTAATTTCATCATTCTTTCACCCCAGCTTCACCAGAAATTTGATATTTACTCTTGCTTCAGGTTTAGCATAATCTATATTGCCAATAGGGGCTCTTTTCAACCTGATGTCTTATCCCTCTTAGTGCCTCGGGCTGGACTTTGTTCAGACATGTTGTAACAAGTAGGTACTATTTGTTTTGGCACAAAACTTTTTGAAATCTATGCATAGTCTTTTTCATAACATGCATTTTCCATGAACTTTGTGAAGACCTCCTGTTTATGTAGTCTACCCCTAACCAAAATAACATTATGAGGCACAGGACTGTATATGTCTGTATGTATAGGGATTTTTTTTCATATAAATTGAGATCAATCTGTACTTACACATATATCTGTATATAATGAGTAACTTGTACAAGTTTATAAGGGAAAGGCAGGTATTAGTAGGGCCTGTGAAAATTTTTTTCATGCAAGAGACATTTCAATGTCAAACAATTCTTAAGTCTACTCATCTATACAAGAGTACAAATTATTGCAATTAATTTACTTGAAACAAATAAATAAATCTCTTTGTCAACTATTTGGCCATATAGAACTTTTGAATTCAAGACACTACTTTAACCAGATTAACAATTTAGATCAGTTTCCAAGAATTTACATCACTGAAAGTGATTATCAATATAAACATTGTAAACAAACCTATATTCTGCTGATTAACTTACATGGTTTTCCATAAATGGGGCTTAGAGACAGAGCGATACTTGGCAGAAATAGTAACATCTGTCATTAGGTTGGGGCTTTTACTTTTTTTCATACTGTTGCTCTACTTAAGCTATCTGTCTTTTGGTGAGAAGGTGTTGATTTTCTTTGCTTGTAATAAGCTTACTGTCATTCAGCAGGCTATCACAAAGTGAATGCGGAAATTTACAGGTCATGCTACTCTCCAAAGACATAGATAATGCAAATATTACTAACATATATACGATAAGAAAAAGAAGTATAAGGGAGGAAAACATGGATCTTGTTTTCAACATCATGTGTATGTTAGCAATAATAATACTATTATTACATCATTTGGTCTATATGCTCAAAAAGGTACAATTACTGAAAGAAAAGCAATTTACAGAGAAAATGAAAACAAACAGACTTAAGAATTTGAGCTATTTTATTGTCCATTTCAGGTAAGGGATAACATTCTTGCATTCTTTACCTGACTGTTTATGATCATGTAAAGGAACAAATGTGAAGGAATAAATCTTTTCAGAGTTTCATTTAATCTTGATTACTGAGGTGCCTACTATTTTTTTCTACCTTCTTAATTTTCCTCAAACTGCCTCCTTCAGTTGTTTATTCTGTCAAGTTATATTAGTTAAAATGCTACCTATTTATTCAAGTCCTACCATAACTGCCTTCTTTCTCTGTGTGAGCCTGCAAGCATTATTACAGTGTTTATCACACTCCAATTTAGTGTCTGAAAATATCCGTTCAGTACTAATTATGTGCCATGCACTCTAAGTGTTTTTTCAGTGTTCTCAGTTAACATTCTGTTTCATGTCCTTCCTGTTTGATAATCTGATACCCTCAATTAATTGTTCATAACTTAAAGGCAGGGATCAGGGATCACATCTGATTTATTTAAGAATATTCTGTCTGCTTCTTATCTAAGTGCAGTGTAGATTTGTTAAATGAGTTTGAGTTTCTAAAAACGAATAGGTTTTTCCATGTCACAAAGGAAAAAGAAACTGCCTCTATGCTCCTCATCCCTCATCTCCTGGAACTGTCATTCTCAAGTGTAGTTCTGCTCAAAATTGCTGTCTCTATTTCTTCTCTTCTTCTATCAGAGAAATGCAGAACTGTGTAAGTCATCCTAAAGATTTTATTACAGGAGATTTAGAAACACAAGTAAGTACTTTGGGACCCGAGGGCCACTACACCACATAGAGAAAAGGACCCATAGTATTTCTTTACATTTTTCCTTTCTTTCTTTCTTTCTTTCTTTCTTTCTTTCTTTCTTTCTTTCTTTCTTTCTTTCTTTCTTTCTTTCTTTCTTTTTCTTTCTTTCTTTCTTTTTTTTTTTAGACAGAGTCTTGCTCTATCTCCAGGCTGGAGGTGCAGTGGCAGGATCTTGGCTCACTGCAATCTCCGTCTCCTGGGTTCAAGCTATTCTCCTGCCTCAGCCTCCTGAGTAGCTGGGACTGCAGGTGTGTGTCACCATGCCCAGCTATAATTTTTGTATTTTCAGTAGAGATGGGGTTTCACCATGTTGGCCAGGATGGTCTGGATGTCTTAACCTCGTGATCCACCCTCCTCAGCCTCCCAAAGTGTTGGGATTACAGGCGTGAGCCTGCACCCAGCCAAGGACCCATAGATTTTTTAAGTAAATCATGGAAGAATTTTCTTTTTGTGACTCATGGAAAACTAGGAATCAGAAAATGTCTCCTTAGATAACAAAATATAACTCTTAACAGAACTTTCATAATTTGAGAAGAAATAAAATTATTTAATTACCCAAAATAAAGTCATCTATGATATGCTAAAAGGTCCAAATGCTTTGGATCTGGGGAAGGTTCTGTTGCTAACTAGTTATATGGTCTGAGACAAGATGCTTAGCCTTTTTTTCCACATTTGCATTTTGATCTAAAAGAGAAATACTGGATTAAATTCCAATATCTAGATTTCTTTCCAGCTATAGTGGATGCCACAAAAACGCACTTTCCTATGGTTACTATAAAAATTATTCTTCCTTTTTAAAAATTATACCTCCTTTTCTTCAATTCTTAATACCTATCCTGTTTTTATAATTGTATTAGACTTGAATGTTCCTTTGTCTACAATACACCTTCCAACATATTTATACTGCATATTAGAATTTACCAGTTCAGTTAAGCAGTTTAATTCTACTAAATATCATTCTTTTAGAGTATTGAAGGAGAAAGGAAATGATGTACAACTTTCTCTGTTCTCTGCCGCAGCTCATCAAGCCTGAATGGCTGAGAATAGCTGGACATTTACATAATTAATTTCCTTTATTATTTAAATTGCCCTAAGCAATTGCCTTAGAATAACAGTCATTTTGTGCATCTCGCTTTTCTGCTACAGCTTTATTGGAATGTAAATACAAAAAGTGGATTCTTTAAAAGCACAATGCAGAACCAATTGGTGCAGTTGCCCATTATTAAGTATTAATGGAGACTAGAGACCTGGACAAGTTAACATAATGAACCTGTCTTTCTGCCTCTTTTATCTTATGCATTTGTGAAATGAAAATTATTTAGAAAGAATATGAAAAAAATGTCTACAATATTTTATCTGAAAACCTTTATGTCTCTTTCCTCTTTTGATTGAGACTTTGAGAGAGACCCATTCTGTAGTTTTAGATCTTCTAATCCTGTGGGACATAGGATCTATGGTCTATAGCTAATAAACCATAAGATGTGTTAACACTGACAATATGACCCGCAATAAATACTGTGGGATCTCATTTACATATTTTTAGAAAAGCTGAATAAATGATGAGCGTATTCTGCAGTTATGATACCACAAAACTCAGAAAAAAAAAATCTTTAAAATGTAAGCATGAATGTTGTGCTTGTGAAAATGGTATAAAGAGACCAGAAATGAATGGAAAAAATGTAAGTATGTTATCCCTTACTTGAAAGGATGCAAAGAAAAAGGAAAATCCACAGGCATTCACACAGATAAGGACCTAAAAGAGATCCTGAACATAAAGTTACCTAAGCTGTTTCCTTATTGCCTGTAATATTAATTTATTGCTTCTACTCATGGATAAAATAAAGCCTGTTATCTATTTATGTATTAATTTTATTCGGCTATTAAGCCACTTGGGTTATGGCATGGTTACATGTTGATTTTCTGAATTTAAATTTATTCCAACTCAAGGTCTGTATCAGTACTCTTTTCTGGAATACCCTATACATTCAGATTTTGAGTCAAAAACACAATGGTGAAATATTTTGGAGATACCAACTAATTCTCCTTAATGGCCACGCAGAAAAAGTTCTTTCACCATCACACAGTATAGTCTGAAAAAATTCCCCTAAGAATTCTGAGTTTCATATCCATGACTTAAAACAAAGAGTCACAGATTTATGGACAAAATCCTGGGGTTCTATCATTTCCTACTAACCAAGTAACTTGAATAAGTTGTAAAAATATTTTGTTCTTAAATTTTGTAGATAGATTAATTTTTAGTTTTAAATTTGTATTTTTTTATTTACGCTTATCTTCATGAAGTTATCATAACACTCACATGAATTGATGTATATGAAGACACTTTATCAAACTAAAGTTTTATTTAAAATATTTCTCATGTTATTACATGTCTCCTATAAAGGATTCAAAATATGCATTAATATAATCATTGCAACTAACTTCATTCATTATTAAGTGTATTTTCTTAACAGTTTCCTTATATTGACTTATTTAAACCTCAAAGTAAACCTCTAAGGACATACTATTATTATAATTATTTACTGATGAATACATATTTGAAGTGTCATCATTCACTATTTCTCGAGATTTCTTATTGTACATATTCTTGAAATTCATTTTATTGTAAATTAATCCAAAAATCACTTATTCAGAATATAACAACCAGAGTGCTAATGAAGAAAAAACACTCATTACTTTTACTGCACAGGATAACGGAGATGTGAATAGAACCACAGAATTCTTAAAAATGTATTATGTGAAGTTATTCGCATTCTACTCTCCAAGTTGTAGTGTGAGAACTGCAGAAAAACAGCAAAGAAAATCACCACCAACAAAATCAGACACAGTAAGAATAGCATTTGAAAAGGTTAGGTCACTGTAAAATGTCCAAACCACATCATAACCTCACACTCTTAATTCCAAATTATCTTTTCTCAGCAGGATGGAAATAGATATCCAAACTGCATAACCTTTCATCCAACACTACCACTGCTAGGCTACAGAAAAGGCTTAAGTAACTTAATTTTTCTCACAAAACCTGATGTAGATATTTGGCAGCTTCTAATCTGGCTGGGTGCCCTGACATGAATTGCAGATTCTCTGTGCTCCTTTTGAGAGGAGTTTGAGGAGGATGAAAGCAGATGCAGACAAACGCAGATGGAGCCCAGAAGCCAAATAACATGAGGCTGCTCACTACAACAGAAGTGGATTTGGCAGCCTCACACTGTTTTAAGGAAGAAAGGTAATTTTCTATAAAGTAATTAGATAGTCACTTAAACCATTGCTGTAGTTTTATTTATTTTTTGTTAACTTTAGAAAATGTCCTTTGAATGTAAGCTAAAATTAAGTGGTAGTTTTTGGTCATTAGTGATTTTGATTGTCAATTTTAAAGACAATAATTGAATTTCAGAAGTGAAACCGATATTTAAATTGGAACGTATCCTAATTGATCTCCACAACTTAGGTCAGTATTACCTTTTCAAACAGATAATTACAAACTGAAAGACGGGTCGCCTGGTCCGGAAACTTTAAACTTATTTCCAAGTTACTTGACTTTTCTGGCTAGGGCTGCATTGCTTATACTTAACCCCCTACCCTTACAGAACAGGAGGCTTTCATACTTGTTCCTGAATGTCATTCCGTCAGTAGTCAACAGTTTTCCCTAAGAGTTGGTCTCTATTCACTTGTTATTTCTTGGGGAAAAGAGTGGCACTTCTTTTTCTGCATTCGTTTGGAAGGTTTTCAGTGTACTTTCTGTCCTCTCTATACCACTTTGCTCATTCTGCCTTGGGAAGGTAGAGTGGTTTCCTTCAAATACGTATCCATATGCTCTGTTGTTCTAATCTACAGAGAATAGCTACTATTAGTTTATTTCCTGAATAGAGTATATCACACAAGGTCGTGTCTCTTCCTCAGACACACACAGTTTTGAGCCATCAATTTCAGAGACCTTAAACTTCGGTGTACTTGTTAGATATTCTAAATCATTAAACAAAAATGATAATTTAGGGAAATGATTAAGGCTACTCCTGTGCAGAGGATGTATGGCATTGGACCTTGGATTTTAGTATGTGGGCAGAGTATTTTATTTAACATTAGGAGAGGCTTAGTTTTATCCAGGTGATATTTTTACAGTCGAACATTTGGCTTTTGTTCCTGAGGCTTGCGAAAGATATTTAAACCAGCTCTGTAGTAATTGCAGGGACTTAAGCAAGGGATCATCTTAAAGAAAGATGCCTATAGTTTCAGGGCAAGAGCTAGACATCTGTAGGCTTAGCAGTCATTTGGACCTAAGAAAGAACCCCACAAAGGGCCATTTAAGGCATTTCAATGCTCTGCAAGGCAGACCTCATGGGGCTGAACAGCCAGCAGAACTCAGGTGAGGCCTGACAAACAAGGGCTGCTAGTTAGGGGCTTAGTAAACAATATCATAAAAACGGAAACTCCTCTCTGAAAAGGTGAAATTACCTGTGACCCTACAGGCCAACACCTGCATCTTTAGTTGGTACAGGTTGCTTCCATATGCGTGCTTTCACTGCTTATTTCACAAGTACAGCATTTTCCAAGTAGATGTAGATGAAGTACAGATAATTTTAGGCAAAAAAGCACCTGACTCCTTTAGAGTTCTTTTAGACATTGATTGCCAGACTATTTGCTGCTTTTATATAGTGTGGCAGCTGAATTCTGGGTGCATTTCAGAGCATCAGGGAGGTCCTAGCTTTACATTATTAATGCTAAGCCTGTATGAGTAGGGCTACATCAAGAGCTACAAATCACATATATACATACATATGTATGTGTGTGTGTGCGTGTGTGTGTATCCCAGTAGAAGGAAATCATAAATATGATATTCTTTTGAGTCTTCCAGGTATTGCAAAGAACTACATGAACTCATATTGCTTCTCATGTGGGTTCTGAATTGATTAATTTTAGAAAAGATGTCTCCTTAGAAGGCAAATTTCTTAGGCAAAAACTGTTTTATAAGAGGCAGCTGAAGAAACAGCTACTGAGGGACAAGACAGAAAATACTAACAAGGAAATATGAATGCTGGATTTCTAGATAGACCCAAAGTGAAAACAGAACTGGGTTTCAGAACCTGTGACTCAAAAGAGAAATGGAAATTAGGAGGTTATGCAAAATCTTAATGCAGAAGGGCCAACATCAACATGTTGATGGCTGATTTCTTCTTACTGAGTCTAATTTCACAGGGATATTTTTCAGAAGGTCATCAGGATGAATGACACTTGTATTAGTTAGAGTGATAACAACAAACTGCCATAGACTGGGTAGTTAAAACCACAGAAATATATTATCTCACATCCTCATAGTGTAGATTTCTGAGATGAAGATATAGAAAGGATTGATTTCTTCTGAGGCCTCTCTTCTTTGCTTGTAGATGACTATCTTCATTCTGCATTTTTTCTTGGGTTTCCCTATGTGTCCAATTGTATCCAAAGTTGCTGTGTTTTGTTTGCTCGTTTTTAACTATAATTTAAGTTCTGGGATACATGTGCAGAACGCTCAGGTTTATTACATAAGTATACACGTGCCATGGTGGTTTGCTGCCAACAACCCATCACCTACATTAGGTATTTCTTCTAATGTTATTCCTCCCCTAGCCCACCACCCTCCCCACTGACAGGCCTTGGTATGTGATTTTCCCCTCCCTGTGTTCATGTGTTCTCAATGATTAACTCCCACTTATGAGTGAGAACATACAGTGTTTGGTTTTCTGTTCATGTGTTAATTTGTTGAGAATGATGGTTTTCAGCTTTATCCACATCCCTGCAAAGGACATGATCTCATTCATTTTTTATGGCTGCATAGTATTCCATGATATATATGAACCACATTTTCCTTATCTAGTTTATCACGGTGAGCATTTGAGTTGGTTCCAAGTCTTTGCTATTGTAAATAGTGCTACAATAAACATATGTGTGCATGTGTCTTTATAGTAGAATCATTTATGATTCTTTGGGTATATACACAGTAATGGGATTGTTGGGGCAAATGGTATTTCTGGTTCTAGACCCATAAGGAATTGCCACACTGTCTTCCACAATGGCTGAACTAATTTGCACTCTTACCAACAGTGTAAAAGCATTCCTATTTCTCCACATCCTCTCCAGCATTTGCTTCCTGACTTTTTAATAATCACCATTCTAACTGGTGTGAGATAGTATCACATTGTGGTTTTGATTTGCATTTCTCTAATGACAGTGATAATGAGTTTTTTTCATATGTCTGTTGGACTCATAAATGTGTTCTTTTGAGAAGTGTCTGTTCATATCCTTTGCCCATTTTTGATGGGGTTGTTTGTTTTCTTGTAAGTTTGTTTATGTTCTTTGTAAATTCTCAGTATTAGACCTTTATCACATGGGTAGCTTGCAAAATTGTCTCCCATTCTGTAGGGAGAAAATATTTACTCTCTTCAATCTGATGATGATAGTTTCTTTTACTGTGCAGAAGCTCTTTAGTTTGGTTAGATTCCATTTGTCAATTTTGGCTTTTGATTAAATTGCTTTTGGTGTTTTAGTTATGAAGCCTTTGCCCATGCCTATGTCCTGAGTGATATTGCCTCGGTTTTTTTCAAGAGCTTTGGTTTTTACATTTAAGTCTTTAATCCATCTTGAGCTAATTTTTGTATAAGGTATAAGGAAGGGGTCCAGTTTCAGTTTTCTGCATATAGCTAGCCAGTGTTCCCAACACCATTTATTAAATAGGCAGTCCTTTCCCAACTGCTTTTTTTGGTCAGGTTTGTGGACTATCAGTTGGCTGTAGATGTGTGGTGTTACTTCTGAGGCCTCTGTTTCATTCCATTGGTCTATATATATGTTTTGTTATCAGTACCATGATGTTTTGGTTACTGTAGTCTTGTAATACAGTTTGAAGTCACGTAGTGTGATGCCTCCAGCTTTGTTCTTTTTGCTTAGGATTATCTTCACTATACGAGTTCTTTTTTGGTTCCTTATCAAATTTAGTGTAGTTTTTTCTAGTTCTGTGAAGAAAGTCACTGGTAGCTTGATGGGAATAGCAGTGAGTCTACAAATTACGTAGGGCCATTTTCACAATATTGATTTTTTCTATCCATGAGCATGAAATATTTTTCCATTTGTTTGTGTTCTCTCTTATTTCCTTGAGCAGTGGTTTGTAGTTCTTCTCGAAGAGGTCCTTCACATCCCTTGTAAGTTGTACTCCTAGGTATTTTATTCTCTTTAAAGCAATACAATTTAAGTTTTAAGGTAAATACAGCTCTTTATTTTTATTTTCACTTGACATATCTGCCGGATGCTCAATAATGTCTCTTTTACACAGGACACCACAAAATTATGGTCAGTTATTTTCAGATCCAACCTTTGAACCAGAAATGTTGACTTTTCTATATTATCTTGGAAATCAGAAATTTCATAATATTTAGTGTTACTGTTTTGAATTAAAATTATTAAATCACTGTTAGTTAAGAGCAAAAAATGATTGCTGAGTCCCCAACCCTTCCATAACTTACCCACTACCATAATTATCTTGGTAGTATAGACTGGGATTTGTTCTATGGGATGCCAAAGTCTATGTACATTTTATCTCATATAATACAAATGAAAATATATATTAATGGACAAATACCCAATAAACATGATTTTGCAGACAACAAATTCTGGATATATTCCAGAGATAGTCTTCTAGAGCTGAATAAATGTTGTATCATTTTGTGGGATGATAAGTTGTCTTGTTCCCCATCTCTCTTAGTCCTGGCCCCATGCCCAAAGACATTTTTTTTTTCGTAGCAAAACTTGCAGGCCTTTCCTTTGCCAGAGAATAAACCATATCAAATCTTTATGATTGAAAGAAAATGAGATAAGCTAATAAAGGATTCAGCAGAATGCAGGAACCGGCTCACGGAGCCTACACAAAATCAATTTAACAGTTATGACATTATATCGGCAGCTTGAAATTTGTTTCCTCCAAATTAGGACTTTTTTCAGATCTTGTTAAATATTTACCAGCCTACTTCAAATCAGAGTACAGTACTTGAAAACTACATACATTAAATAATAAAATCTACATGTTTTAGTGTTTTATAGTCCATGAATATTATCTAATTTCAGATATTCATAGCATCAAGTATCTTTTAGAGAACTATCACAAGACAGTATTGATCTATATAATGTGTTGATCATAATTTACATTATAAATAGCAAAAACAAAGAAATAATTGAAACTATGTATGAAGTCATTTTTCTTCT